TAGCTTTGAACTCTGCCTCTGACAGAGGATAAAAATAATAAAGTCCAAGTTCAGGATGCTCAGCACTGATGGAGCTGATGCGAGCTCACAGCTGGCTGTGAGCACTGATGCTAAGATGTAAGAGCTGGCTTTCAGATCAGCACTAGAGCCTGTTTCATACTATCAAATCTTAATGTCTTAGTGATCTACAGAAACTTTTAATGGTCAGCTATTTTGTAAAGACATTAATCTCCTGCTGAGGAGTGCCCCTTGAAGTAGGTCTCAGTGTTTGCTACAAGCCAGTGGCTGTTACAATGTTAAATGCCATGATAATTATTTCATGCTCACATGTAGAGTGACTAGGGCCAGAAAGGGGAGGTGGATAAAGCAAACAACATCTTATCAACACTGCTCAGAAATCTAAGTATTTAACAACTACTTTGAAAGACTGAATTTTACCCACAGTTGAGACAGCTTTTGTATGTCTTTCTCTGTGAGAATATACAACAAATAACTGTAAGACCACCATTTAACAAAAGGTGCCCACCTTTCAGATTCACTCCATTACAAATTGAGCAAAGACAAATTTGAGACCCCAAAGTTTTGAAGCCAAAATTTTGAAAAGGCTTGTATTAGAAGAGATGGGTGGCATAAGGTGAGGCATCAAAAATGCCCAACCATAAATATTTATCCTGAATATATTACAATACTGATGGAAGTTTTATCAATAAATCTAAATCTCCTCAGACCCTATGCTCTGAACAATTTATCTGGAGTTAAGGACTGTTGAGTCAGAAAACTACTAGGTCTGCATTAATGAAGCAAAAAGAAAGGTGGTGTGACCTGTGTTACTCACTTCTGCCACTCCTGCTCCAGAGACTCAAATTCTAAAATGAAAGAAGGGTACACACACTTGCTAGGTATTTTTCAGGCCTGCAATGTACTCAGAGAGCACATGATTTTATTAGTGTGTATGTTTACCAGGAGAACCCATGAGAACACCTCTTTTGTGTGCACAAAGAGTGACTCAGCTGGATTGCCCTGGCTCTCAAAGCAGATAATGAAATGGAAATAACTTCATCTATCAACAAATTGTGAGGTCCACTGATGCCAAATTTCATCTCATTGAGCATGTCAGCCATCTGACAGGTGGCAATTTCACAAAGCAAGAGCTATGGGATGGAAAACACACAAATACACATCCTTTTACACATTCATTGTGTAAATAGTGCCTTTTTGTTTCAATCCATTTTCAGTATCTATGAATAAAGCAGCTGATAAAGGATGAAAATCATAAAGGTTGAACAAGGAGTGCTCTTTCAAACTGGGACATCTGCTTTCACACTGAGTAAGAAGGATTTCTCTTGTTGTAAAAAACTGCTGAAACAAAACTGAATTAAAATAATAAGAGCTTAGCCCATTTTTTCTTCTTTTTTTTTTTTAGCCTCAGAATTATACAGGTTATTCAAGTGAAAACCACATCTATCTAATACAACAGCTATATATAATTTCATATGATAAAATAATCTGTTGTTGTAGCATCAGTTATTCTTTAGAGGAAAAAAAATCTAAATGGTATTACTACCCGTGCTGCATTCTGGGTGAACAGTTTCAAGTGACTAAAAGAGTTAATATATTGTGGGACTGAGTACTCAGTGGTAAGCCATGCATTTTCTTCCCCAGAAGGTCTGAGACATCCCTAACTGTCTGCATTTCTGTCAACATTTAGCCTCTGTGAAGTGCACTCTGAAATGGCATCAGCCAAGAAGGCAGTGTTATTTAATTTACAGTGTACTTATTTCCTTATCAGTGTGCTGAATTCTGTAATTAATCCTGAGCACCAGGGCAACAGGCTCACAGACAGAAAAACAAATATACTCATAAAATTGGGGGGGGGGGGGGGGATGCCTGGAGGACTGGCAATAGCAGGTGGAAAAAACTGCAATTCCAGTAGAAACCTCTTATTTTAAAATTGAAGTGTGAAACATAGATTTTTAAATATAGCAGACAATTGGAAGGTTGATCCAAGAGGCTTTCTGATCCATGTCAACAGGAACTCTGTGGCTGCAGTCTTTGGTATAGATTTAGAGAGAAAAGAAGGAGTGTTGCTACACGAACTGATCAAGCAAGTTAAAAATAGGGAAAAATTCCATTTCAGTTAGAAACTTAAACACCAAAAGCTCCATAAATCTATCCCATAATCCTTTTAAGACCAGTCTTATGCTCATTTTGTGAAGACTAAAGCAAAGGAAATAGCATGGAAGATTTAAGTATAGATACCATAAATTAAAATTAGAGACTTCTGGATTAGGAGACATTTGAGCCTGTGGTTTAAGTTAGGAAGAAAGTGCCAATGGATTTGCTCAGTAATCTCGGCAGTCCATCTAACCCTCATTTTGCTAACACCATGACAGAGAGAGTAACTGTTGCCTGTCTCTACTGCTGTAGCCTGTAAGGATTCAAAGTAGTCTGTAAGGATTCCATGAGCTTCAGCGAATTATCTCAGAAACAGTTTTGATCTAGTACCATGGCAGTCCTCTGATGTGACATGCTAATGACCCACAGGGAACTAGTAGGAGGGAAAAGAAATACAGGACCACATTGTTATTGTTCCACATTTATCTCACCCTTGCACTACACATCTGTAAAATGCAAATTTAAAACACTGGCCGAAAAAGGTAGGTTGGTCCTTAACGATTGCTCAGAGGCCTCCAGTTTCTCTGCCATAGAGGATGGACATCAGGGGGCCTCAGGCATCAGACCTTTCTCAATTATTTGCAGGCCAGACTCTGACCTTATCAAGCCTTAATGAAAAACGTCCTCAGCAATCACCCTTATTCACTCAGGCAGTTGTATATCTGTGTTTACTCTCCTTCTTTCCATGAAGCTTTCTACCTTTTCAATTGTTCTTACATGAAATGGGAGGGGGGAGGGGGGGAGGAAGAAAACAAAACAAAGGAGGTGTACTCACTAGGTAGCAAAAGGAATGAATCTGAAGTAGTTGTGTGATTTTGAGACAGTGGTGCAGTGATAGGAAATACCTGGTTGGGACAGAAGAAAGAGATGGGAACAGTGCAGGAGTTTCCCTCAGACGGGTATAACCTTGTCCCAGGGTCAGCACAACCACAGAAAACTTGTGTGAGAGCATGCAGTAGTTATAAATCTGCCCATCTTTGATAATAATTACTTTAAAACCAGTGATCGCTCTGCTTGCATTCCATCAAATAAAAGCTTCATATGTTTGGGTTTTTTAGTTGCTGATTCACACTCAGAAAAGATAATTAGTGAGCATCTCTATTAGCAATACAGAACCCCTCCTGTGTAAGCCCCTTGCATGTGACTTCTCCCATTAGCCATTTTTTCATGGCTTTTATTTGCTACTAAAGGAACAGCACATGTGAAGTGATGTTTGGCATTTACAGTATTGTAACAGCTGCCTGCTATGTGATGAGTTTTTAAAACTAATTCTGAGAAAATCAGAGTGCATGAAACCAAATTGTAAAGATCCTGACTACAGACACACTAATCCTCTACAAAGACAGTACTACTGACAGATTAAAACATTCAGAAAAGAAGCTGTGGTCACATCTCCAGGCAGGCTTTCTTAATGATGATTTATAAAAAATCGTCCTTAACTAGACTAGAGCTGCCATGGAAGGCCAGAAATGCTCTCCTCAGTCAGCCTTGTTACTTAAAATACAGCTATGCAGTCAAACCCAGAAGTAAACATAACTAAAACAGTAAAGTCAGGAGCTCAAAAATTAGGAAATCCCAGATAAAGTTGCCCTTTCTGAATCATTGGTCTTGCCCGCCTTCCTTGTCTTATGGGTGGTGCACACAACACAAAACTATTCAGTTTGGTAGTTGCCTCATTTTTAACCACATGACCCCAAGCCTTCACTGAAAAATGTCCAATACAAAGGAAAAAAAGAAAGATACCTTGAATGATTTCACAAGCTTAACATCAGAACTTTAGGATAAGAAAGAAGGACACAATTAAATTTTAAGTGCCAAGCTGAACTGTCGTCTATGCGATATTTTTATTTCATTTAGCATGTGTGTTCTACTCATTGCTTAGAGAAGTCAGAAGTGCTCCAGATGAAATGAGATGTAGAGGAATACTAGAGAAAATTGAAAAGCCAAAGTAGTGTCAGGAACTGTATCACAAATGAAGTAAAAGAGAGTATATATCGTGGCAGAAGACTGAGGAAAAAACAAGGAAAATAGGGAAATAACCTGCTTTTTCAGTATCGAGTGCTACATCTGGTAACAGACCTGTTAACCTATTGGAAAACTTTGTCTCGGTGTGACTCATGTTTGTAGACATCTGTTCTACAAATACATGGGGTGACATGTCTCTCATTCACTTCTGCTGTTGTTTAGCATTGACACACTTCCCCAGTGGCTGGTCCTAGCAGAGGATCTATCCACTCCCTCCACAATTCTGCAAACAGAATGCCTGTTAAATGACCAGTGAGACAACCTTTGAGAAAAAAAAAAACACCTTCAGCTTGCTTGCTACCACTGCCATTCTCTGCAACATCTTTAAAAGCTCACTTAACTGTTTTTGTCTGTGTATCTACTTGAAAATTTTAGTCTTAAGGAGTACCAGCTATCTGGCCAAAGTACTTATAAAAGAGACATCAGAATTATTCACAGCCCTACGCTACTTCACAAGTTACTTTTATAGTGGAGATGATGAAGCCTTGTGATATGATCTTATAGTATAGTACAGCAATACTGCAATTACCAAATATTTTCCTTAAAATATATTCCACATGTTTAGTTTGTTGTTTTTTTTTTTTTTTCCCCACAAACTAGCAGTGAGAGTCTCTTCACTATAAACAAAGCCAAATATTAACCTGCAAAGGCAAGGAGGCAATTTGCCTGCTCACACCTACATTGTCTTTAGCCTGCATCAGAAATAATAAAAACACTATAAGACATGCATTCAGTTTTAAAGCATGAAATATTACAAATATGTCTGGAATATGTGGAAAACCACATTTCTAGCAACTTACTTTCACTGGATGAATAGTCCTGTGGATCAAGTATCCCTGATTCCTGCAGTGATCTAATACAGGAGTCCACCAGCTCCAGACCAGTGGTGAGCTCATCTTCTATATCCTTCTGACCATCTGTAATAAAATGAGCAACATAAGAATGTATATAAGAAGGCAAAGGGTAAAACCAGCTAAATGTGACTAAGCCTTCACAGCTGATGAAGAAAATGCTAACACACCAAGATCACATAGTAAGAGGAGGCTGGCCGTATTGAAAAGTATGCCATCCTTTGAAAGCTAGCCTTGGATTAGTAAAAGCAAAATGAGAAAGTTCATGCCAGATCTTAAAAAAAAGTGAGAGGGACATGTTTAGCAATGCCCCTCACAAAACTCTACATTTTGAGAGCGTTCTCAAAGAGAACACAGTGTGCTTTTTGTCAACCCTAAAAACTTTTGCCAAATTCCACCAGTTTTGAAGTAGGGTTTTCACACACTAGCAATGAAAAAAAAAAACAACCCAACAAATTGCATAAATAAATGTTGTTTTCCCCTCTGTCTTCTTCAGGAAATATGATCATTCTAAGAGAGGATATATGCAGCACATATACGTAGATAAGTACATTACCTTGTGTTTGCCAGTGAAACTGCTCTTCCGTTGAACTGAAAAGAGGGAGAAAAGTGTTATTTTCTTATGAAATGATTCAGTAATGTGCCATCAAAATTCAGCTGTAAATCTATTCTGAAGGAACTGATCTAAGGATAAATGAACTGACTTAAGGATAAATAAGAAAACATATCAAGGATTGTTTTACATATTTTTAAGTGAATGACTTGCACAGCATTCATTCAGCAGGAGGGAAGCATCTTCACTTCTTAATTAAGTAATTCCAAATATACATATAGTAACTGCCCTTAGTCTTGATATACAAATTATACTATTCCAAAGCAAAAACATTTTGCAACTTTTTTTGATCCTCCTATTTGTCGGATTTTTTATTTTTATAGAGAAAGTTATAAACTGCTTTCTCAAGTGAACATTACATGTGCTTTCTAAAAGAAATTACAAGTATGGCTCTTGGTTCTACTAATCATTATGTGCATTTTTATACTATCCAAATGTGCAGCTAAGTTAATTCAATTGGCCTACACAAGAGAGTAAATTTAGATGTGTTTGTGCTTCTAAGTACAAGCACTTAAGCAATGGAAGGTCTTAATTTTAAAATAATGAACATGCACTCTAGAGGATGGGTTAGGTAGGGTGGTTTTTTTTCTATAAAATGAACTCTATAGTCAAATAAATGATAAAATGAATGATCTATTCAATTAGGCAATGAGTACACTTTCCTCCAAGGCATGATCTGTTTATGCTTCAATACAGGTCCTCATGCCAAGAATACAAAAAGGATTGAAGTTACTCAGTAATATAATAGCCATTCTTTTGATAACAGTAAACTGATTTATTATAGTCATAATTAAAACATTTTTCTGTACATTTTTACAAGATATTTGTACAGGAGAACAAAATGATCTGTTGCATCCACTGGTGTAAATAAATAAAGACAGTAATTACTTTAACTTTTCAAACAATAAATTTATTTCTCTCTGACATTGAGAATAAATGTTCTTTTTACTGAGCAAAAGGATTTTAAATCTTGAATTATTTTCCCTTTTCCCAAGACATGCTGGATCTCTTATGAATATGTGAGTATAGCTCCTAGTATCTATGCTCTTAACAAGAATAACAAATTAAATTATTTCTTCATATTATTCTCTCTTTACAGGAAAAGAACTTGGGTTAATCATTTATCAGGTTTGATAGTATTAAAAAAAGTGTACTTGCCTAATTTACATGGAAATACTTCTAAAAGGACAACTTTCAATTTCTAATTGGCATCTAAAATGTTAATCTGACAAATTCAAGTCTATACATGACCATCAGTTTCCAAATATCTACCATCTGTGCTTTATATTGACTCACTGTGGTGAGATTTCATAGATGAAGAAGCTAGCCTTTGAATGAGACAATCAAAACGCTTGCATTCAAGTCCTCTGAAGTTAATAATATGGAAGACAAACATAGCCAGTGTTGTCTGGCAAATAATAATGGCAAAGTACTAAACTGGAAGATATTACTGTAATATAAATAACCTTTTCAAATGGAGCCCTAGTGGGTGGTGACTAGGGATAGTGGCTCTTTTTGGAAAGATACTTTTTCTAATTTGAAATTCCTTTTGCCTGATTTTCAGAATCGCTGAACAACTGCAGCTTCTGCTGACACAGTGGGACTTGAGAGCAATCTTCCTTTCTGGAATTTGCATCATTCATAATAAGCAATGTATTACTTTACACTGCACGGTCCTTCTTCTAGTATCCAGAATTCTATGTGATAGATACCACTTCAAAAGACGGAAAAAAGTAATATCTCAGGTGGCATTCTTGCTGCCAGAATGACATACTGAACATTGCTGGCAAGAACATGGTGATGTAGAAGACTGTGCCACCTGATCCACATCAGCAAGAAAAGAAAATCAATTCTGTGCAAAGGGTAAATTATCATTTTCAGGAATTCCAGCTTAGCCCTTTTTAAGCAGCAAGTTTGTATAAAATGTAGATGTTATTATTAACTAGTGGCTTATTAATGATCCCTGATATAACTACTCTGGCTTCCATAGAAACATTTTAATGTATTCACCTTAAGAAATCCTAAATAGGAAGGTCTAAAGAAGGTTTGCAATAAATTTTGATCATATTTTGGCTTTTCCAGTTTTAGTCTGGCTTCTCCTCACAACTACTGTAATAAATACTATATTTTTTATAGTCAGGGTAACAGATTCACCATTTATTTTTATTTTTCCCTAATGCAATCTTCTCATTCAAACTATGGAACAGGCTACCAAGGGAACTGGTGGAGTCACCATCCCTGGAGGTATTTAAAATATGTGTAGATGCAGTGCTTCCGGATATGCTCTAGTGGTGGACTTGGTAATGCTGGGTTAACATCTCAACTTCATGATCTTTAGGGTCTTTTCCAACCTAAATGATTATATGATTCTATATTAAAGTGTATTTGTCCCTACAAGGATATGAATACATTCTGGTATGAAGAGCGTGCCGTTTCCCTAGTTAAATTAATGCTCTTTAACTTCTGAATAGTCCAATATGGTTGCACATGACAATTGCCATTTCTTGGTTACAAACTCATGCCCTAGTTTTGCAGACAAACAAGTAAAGGGCTTCCTTGGAAAAATCTTATTAGAATTTGTCAGTTTAAACTTAGATAACCTGCTTTTTTCTTTTTTTTTCTTTTTAATCTTTTTTTCTTTTTAATCTTAGCCTTTTTTTTTTCTCCATTTTTTTTTTCAAATGAGCTTTTCCCCATTTGTCCTGAAAATGATTCCTGATTGAAGCAACCTGACATGTCTGTGCAGTGAGCCTTTGGGCTGTCACACAACTGTGCCAAATCTGCTTGAGTAAATAAAAAGTACTTTTCGTGCTTTTCTTTTAGGTGTTTTCCAGCTTTACAAGAGACAGCAGTACAACTGACTGTATACCCACATCAAATAGATGAAAAGAAAAAAAACCAAAAACTAGAATCATAGAATTGACTAGGTTGGAAATGACCTTCAAGATCCAGCCTTTACCCCAAGACCGCCACTAAACCATATCACTGAGGGCTCCATCTACATGGTTTCTGAACACTTCCAGAAACAGTGATTCCACCACTTCCCTGGGCAGCCTGTTCCAATTCCTGATCACCCTTTCAGTGAAGAAATCCTTCCTAATACCCAATCTAAACCTCCCCTGGTGCAGCTTGAGGCCATCACCTCTTGTCCTGTCACTTGTTACTTGGAAAAGGAGAACAACTCCACCTCACGACAACCTCCTTTCAGGTAGTCGTACAGAGTGGTAAGGTCCCCCCTGACCCTTCTCCAGGCTAAACGCCCCCAGTTCCCTCAGCTGCTCCGCATCAGACTTTTTCTCCAGACCCTTCACCAGCTTTGTTGCCCTTCTCTGGTCTCGCTCCAGCACCTCAGTGTCTCTCGTGTAGTGAGGGGCCCAGAACTGAACACAGGATTCGAGGTGCGGCCTCACCAGTGCTGAGTACAGGGAGATGATCACTGCCCTGGCCCTGCTGGCTGTGCTATTTCTGATACAGGCCAGGATGCTGTTGGCCTTCTTGGCTGCCTGGGCACAAGCTGGCTCATGTTCAGCAGCTGTCAATCAGCACCCCTGGTCCTTTTCTGCCGAGCAGCTTTCGAGCCACTCTTTGCTTGGGCTGTTGTGACCTAAGTGCAGCACCCGGTACTTTGCCTTGTTGAACCTCATACCACTGGCTACGGCCCATCAATCCAGCCTGTCCAGATCCCTCTGCAGAGCCTTCGTATCCTTCAGCAGGTCAACACTCCCAGCCAACTTGGGGGCAACTGAAAATTTACCAAGGGTGTGAACACCTAATGATTCACTTCCAAAGCATGTGCTGGGGAGCAGCAAGGGCACCTTGGACTCAGGTGAACTCAAGAAGTCAGGAGTGTGCCCAAAAGCCCTGGCAGCAGAGACAACAGTGGGGCAAAGGCAACTTACATCTAACTCCCGCCCGATGCACACATTTTGCACACTACCTGGTCACAGCGGTACTTGCAGAATTGCTTGGGTTTAGACATAACATGCTCTAATGTGAGGCCTGACTCCCTTCAGATTAATGCCTTTTGATAGCTTCTGAAGCATCTTGTGCAAGAAAGAGGCTCACCACACTGTACACACATAGTACCGTATGTACTATGCAGCCTATGGAAATTCTTTTTTCTTAGCCTGTGCACCGACGTACATCAGTGCAAATGCATACTGGGCCATGATTTGGCTATTCAAGTCCTATGTCTTACTTGGAAGAACACCATAGCAAAAAAACTCAGCTCTTGATAGGAAGGGATATAGTCCTTTAATTATCCAACAAATGTTTGTCTGTCTCTTCTTTGTGTGAAGTCATTCAGCTTACAGTTGTCACTCATTTTTTTTAGAAAGTGCTATAGCTATCTGCTACACAAAAATATTTCTTCTGTTTTCTAAAACAATTCATGAAATTATATCTAACACTACTATAGAACAACTATGAAAGGATTTTTATAAGGAGTTGTATCAGCACACAATCTTTTCAATTATTTCTGCAATGGAGCCACACAAACATCACTGTGTATAATTACAGGCAGAAACTGTCTCACTGATTTCTAAATTGTTATTCTGGTTGTAGAAGGTGGACTAAAAAAGATTCAGAAGTATTCCACAAAAAGCAAAGAGTTTGAGAAACTAATACTGCATCTACAGCAAAGGAGAAGCAGATTTTAAATCAGTGGTACACTTCAGGTTATCTGCAAAACAGTATGCAGTCTTTAGTATCGACTATCGGGGGGAAAAAAAGCCAAACCAAAATCCTAAGAATAAATTTTACACTAAATAATCCCATGAACACATAGCAACCGCTCAATAAATATACAGAAGACCACCCCCAAGTGCAAGTTTTTTTTGTTGCCCAATTTAAAATTAAATGCCTGTACATGTGACACAATAACGTCTCTGAAATATTTAATCAGACTCTATTAGTCAGCTGTGGTATCAACTTGGCTACTATATCAACAAGTCCTTTTGATGTTCCAACAAACCTAATG